ATTTTCATTTCTTTTTGTTTTTCAGATTTACATTACCTCCTCCTTTCCCATGCTGTTCTCTTGCTCCTCTCTCACTGAAATGTAGTATCTTTTTCAGAAGGCATTTTATGCAAGCAGCAAAAAATAACTACATTGAATATTTTTGTGGATTCCCTCCCCTTCTAAGCTATACTGTATCACTTTTGTTTGTACAGAACAATAGGATAAGGAGGTCTTTCAGAATACAGTTCACCCACAATTCTGCTCTTACTCACAGGGTTTCATGAAAGAATGGCTAGCCACAGACCCAGATTTCCATGAATTACTTGTTTTGAAGAAGCTAGCGAATCCAGAGCACTCATGTCAACTGAGTTTCATTTTCAGGTATCTTACAGTCTAATGCCATGGGTTTTCAATCTTTTTAGACTCAAGGCATCTTTGGAAAATGCCAACTCCTTGTTTTTACTCTTTTATTTATAACGTTAAAACAACAGAGCAATTCTTCTGTTGCAAAGAACTCAGGAAGACCACAGCAACCCAGAATGTATTTAACACTACAGATTCCTATGTGAAAACTCTTGGTTTATCTTGTGAATCATGTCTGCAGACCTAACAATGCTAAGTTACACTGCATGGCATCCCATGGCACCCTTGACAGGATCTCAAGGATCCCAGAGTGCCACAGCAGCCTGGTTGAGAATTACCACTAGACTGCTTTTCTTCTCCTCCCTACCCCTTAAGAGCCACCATACCTTTGGTTTCCATTTTGATCTCAGACAGCAAATATAAGTTTTATAAATGTCTTGTCCACCCATCATCACTCTGCTCTGCAAGTCTGATATGAAGTCAACTCAAGATTAAACAAAAAATATTTTTCACTTAACTGTGCAGCATGCAAGTACTGACATGGCACTAACGTGCTCTAACTCCAATTTCACAGATAAGCAAAATAAAATTAAGCTAGATGCAACTAAAGGCCTTGTTATATACACTGCACGTTGAGCTGCTCAGATGTTGATCAGGGTTAGTGCTAGCTCAAGTTTGGAGTAGTCAGACCTTAAAGCTAAAAAACTTCTCTGACTGTCCCCCCACCTACACAGCCATGACTTGCCACTAGAGGACTGGTGAGCAGGGGCCAGACTAGAAGCTACAGCTGTGAGTTGCCATGAGAGGACTAGTGTGACAGGACAGGCTTCTATCCCTGCTCTAGGTGGGGAGGCGGGGGAGAGCTGGGGGGGAGATGGGAACTTGAAGTTGGGAGGCAGAGAGTTAATGCGATCGGGCTGGGAGGTGAAAAAGAAATGGGAGTGAGGAAACGGTGAGGAAATGAAGGAAGTCAGCTACTGCAGGATAAAATAAAAAAAAGTAAAACAAAAAAAAATTAAAAATAAATGAAGAGGAAGTAAATAAAGAAGGTCTCATGGTTTAATAAAATGGGATGGGGGGGGTGGTGTTTATGGTGCCTGGGATGGCTGGGAGGTGCGAGAAGTGAGGAAAGGTGCTTTTCAGGGAGCTACTGCCCCTGCCCCAGGAAGGAAGCCCCAAATCATGGGGACCCAATCTGGCCCCCTATTCACCACCCCACCCCACCCCTCCACCCTGCCCTAGACCCCACTCCTAAATCTATCCAGACCCTGCAATCTGCCTAGCTAGCACCTATTCTGCGGGCTGTTTACACAAGGTTGCACACTGGAGGGTAGGAAGGTCACACCCCCAAGAGCAGGAGGGGGAGTTGGCTTGGTGTCAAAACCACCTTCTGAGCAGCAGAGTTCATGGGGTAGAAAGTCTGCCTACACAGAACAGGAGGGCAGGGAAGGAGATACCGCATCCTGGGATGCTGAAGGACTGCAACTTGGGCAGCTCATCTGTGGGAAGTGGCCAGGCATTAATAGACCACAAGCTGGGTAATACAGATCAGAGATAAACAGGCCCTGGAGTGGTGTAACTTTAAACAACCTAAAGTGTGTTTAAAACTAGTTTCAGGTGTTAATGTGTGGACAATCCAGGGACAATCCTAAAATTAATGTGCAACAAGGCCCTTAGCTGGATTTTGGATGAGAAACCCAAATCTCTGCATTTTACAAGATTTTACACAGATATCCATAAAATCTACATGTCAGATCAATTTTCTTGGTAATCTATTACAGGTTCTGCATCTCTCATGGCCAGTTAAAATTAAATGCCATCCTGGTTTAGTGTCAAAGATCAAGTTGCAGACACCATTGTTTCAAGTCAAAGTCATTTAACCCTTTGTGTGAAAAGTCCTTTTTTTCAGTTGCTTATAAAACTTTTTATCCGGAATGGTTAAAGCATGCACTTTTCTGTGCCGGGTATCTACCTTAAGAACAGTTTTGTTTGTAAATTTTCAGCTAAACCATTCTCAAAATGCAGCAGAGGCAAAAACAAAAGTATACAACCATGCAACTAAAGACTAGATCATAATGCCTTCCACAACAGAACTGCATTAAGGCCAAATATTTTGGCATCGCCCAATATTTACATGCTTGACTTTGAAGTGTAGGTTTTCCCTTTGCAGCAGCAAGTAGAGAATAGAAAAAAAATGTGCAGTGTATTCTGAAAAGACACAACTGAGGTGCACGGTAGCTCTGCCCTGAAAGACTGATCAGGAATGGGACTCAAGTCAGGAGTCACTGGGTTCCTTCTCTACTGACACTGACAGAATCTGACTCACACAAGTAGAGAGGCCACCAAAAAAGCTATCCCAAAACTATTATAACAATCACAGCCTTAAAGTGCTTTTTAGTCTCCAATTAGTCTCCCAAAGCAATACCTCAATGAATATGTAAATAATGTAAGATCCAACTTTACACAGTTCCAAACTGATGAATATGCTAATTATAGGGTAGCATACAGATTATGGTTCCTTAATGTCCATTCCAGGCTAGTTAAGCATATAAAAGCCCATCTAAGGAATACATGTTTTTATACTAACAGCATTTCTTTAGTTAAAAAAGGTTTCCTTTTAAGCAGACAGACAGCATTTTCAAAAGCTCCTTAGGTGCTCAAAGGTATAGCTATGATACAGTCACAGAAGCAACTGCAGCATAGTGAAGAGATACCAGAGCCAATTTCAAATGAACCAATAAAGAAGGCTGTGCTGGCTAATTTACTTCTGCACATGCAACACAGATGCATCCTAATTCCCACTGACTTAGGTTCTGTCTACACAGCAACTATGCAGACAAGTGCTAAAGAAACCCAGTTCAGGATCTTAGTTATTTACTCAGCAGTTGAAGCCTATGCTGTGCAGTTTTACTGCTGTCAGTAGCCAAAACAGTTCAAGTGTGTCCACAATCACACCTCTGACTGCAGCACAGACGTATCCTGAGTTGCTTTTGAACAGGAACTTAAATGGTTTGGGACTTCTTACCTTAGGTTTGGATTTTCAGCTAAGAGCACAGTGTTGGAATTTAACAGATGAAACGTGGCAGAAATGTTTGCTCTATTTAACTATGCTTAAATTTAAAAAAAACAAAATTTTATAAACTGTCATTATATAATCACATACATGTACATACATGTTTTCATGCTCAAAACAGGGATAAGCAAATGATCTAGTACTGACAATGGCCTGCCTTCATGCCAATGGTAGCTTCAACCATTCCTAGATGCCACATGTAAAACCTCTTTTATAAAGAGAATTAATGGAAGAAAAAAAGAGAGAGAGGCCTACTTCAGTCTGTTGATTACAAACTTGTTGAAATAATGGTTATACAATTAAAAAAACAGATCAGAACAGAAGCTTTAACTTTTCAGGCAAAAGTGTAAGAAATCCACTATCTTGTCACTGATTCTTGTGAAATAAAGCACTAAAACAGGAATGTCTAACAGAGAGGTAGAGAAGCTCCTACTATAAGCAGACTGTAATAATTATGTAATACATAATATGCATAGGGAAGGGGCTTATTCTTACTCATGTATATAAGAATATAAAAATGAAGTCTATTCTCCTCCTGATGTTTAGAGCTGTATGCACTTATTCAGATGACATAAACTTTGTGTTTTAGAATTCTCTATGAAAAGTTACAGTAAGATTAACATACCAAAAACATAAGTAACTTTACAGTGAAAAAGACATCTATTACACCTTTAAAATGGAGCACCTCAGTCTACAATATTCCTTAATGTTAACTTTATAAGCGATTCCTTTTTATTCAGCTTTTTTCCTACCTCTGACCAAGTGTAACAGCTCTGAATATCTGCAGTTGTTCCACTTCATTAAAAGTTCACTACATTTTACTTTAAACACACAATCAACTATATTAAATGCTAATTCTCAATCAAATACTTCTTACAGGGAAGAGAAAATATTATAAATGTACATTTCCTTGAAGAAACAGTTCCCAAGTAAGATCTTGTATCATATTTTCTGAAACTTTTTCTTCCTTTATTTGTATTTTGAAGGATGTTTATATTAAGATCTTTGTTAAGATTAGTTCTTCCCATGTATTCCTCACCTGATGTTATAATCCTCTGATGCAATAAGTAGTTGTTTTGATGCTCTAATTCACTATTACAATGTCAAAAACATTACTAAATAAAGCTGGAAATTAACTTCAAATGTGGAATATTTCCTAGGACAGAGTTCCCATGACAAACATATGATAATTACTTTAAAGGATCACTACACATTACAATAACTTTTACTGTCCATATAACAATATGTAACTATTTTGTTTTGTTACTGGCAGCAAGCAAGCATTACTCACATGGCTAACATTATAGATTGGAACCTGCTGAGGGCAGGGACCTTGTGTTTTCCTGCTTGCAAAGCTCCATGCAAATCAATAATTATTTTTTATCCAACAAACTATGACCCAGCCATGCTTACAATCGTTGGTATCTTCATGTCAGGCCAAAATGTTGACTATTAAAAGCAAAGCATATTTTCAGTGCAGTGGAAATAAAAGTATGTCCTGGAACTCTGCATTGAGATGTGTTTATTATCAAAGTAACTATTATCAAACAATTTTAGCAAACCAAAAAAAAAGTAAGCTTACCAAAAACTATTGCTTTGGCAAAAGGTGGAAACAATTCTGTATGTCTGTATAAATTTTTATGAATTTGCCAGAGATCTTTGTGCAGTTTCTTAAAGTCACTGTATCTCTTCCAAACGACTATCTGAAGCAGAGAGGGAAAAAAAGCAGGA